CCCATCCATCCCGACCCCCACTCTGACCGACCAACTTCCCAGACCTCGAACCCTCTGAACTCGCCAACCTCCAGCACGTGTCCCGCCGTTTCCTCAACATCTGCCGCGATAAAAATCTATGGAGGTCCCTTTGCTTCGCGCATTCTGCTGCTGAGCGCCGTCGTCGCCGTCTCGAGTTGTCGACGGACATTGACCCGCGACTTGCTGAGCTGATCCGCGCCGCCGACACTCTCTCGACTACGTTTGACGCATCCAGTCCCAATGCTGATGCTCCCAGCGCTGGGATGCAGCAGGAGAGGAACAAAGAGAAGATTCGACAGGCCTTGATTACCAACTGGGATCCGAGCTATCCAGAGGAGAAAGTCAATTGGTACCAGGACTTTATACAAAGGCATGCCGAACAGCAGATTGGTTGGTTCCAAGATGCAGGGAGTGTGAGCAAAGATGATGGAAATATAAGGAGAGATGCTACGGGTGCGGGTATTTTGTTCGACCATGATGGGCTGGCAGAACACCTCATTGCGCCCCTCGACGACGGCAGTATAAGCATCTGGGACGCTTCAGCAAGCAGCGAACGCTTCGGCAAGCTCGTTGCGAAGAGCGATATCGGTTTGTTGCCCGGCAAGAGCTCCGACTTGGACTATGATACGAGGGTTACACAAAGTCAGGCCATCATGACGGAAACAGGCGCAGTCGAGTGTGTGAGCATCGATAGCAAGCTGCACAAGGGCTTCTTCGCTGTTCAAAACATGTTGAACGAAGTTGACCTCAATGTTCTCAAGATAGTGTCGAGGACCCCGTATCCGTTTCCCATAACGGCTTTGTCTGAAGCTCATCACCAGACACCGTTGACGGTTGGAACAAATTGGACGTTGCATCTTCACGACACCCGGAAGCCTCCCCAGGCCGCATCTTCGGTACGGTGTGAGCTCATTGGCGGCGCGACCGATACTTCTTTTTCCCGCCTTGAAACAGGGGACTTTGGTGGTCATGTCTCACTCTCACAACCAGGCGCGCTTTCCATTCTGCATCTACCTACAACGCGTGAGTGGGACGGCAATGGAGACATCTGGGTCGGGGGCCGCTTTACGAGCATGCTCAACTTTGACCGCAGGTACTTCCCCCGGCTCCGCGGTACTGTGCACTCTGGCGCCCGACTTTCATGCATAACAGCCATACCATTTCCTTTTGTGCCGCAAGACCTCCGACTTGGCCGGCCGCACCCATCGCCCGCGTTGCTGCGCGAAGTCAAGGCTCTTCCCGGTCACACTTTAATCGCAGCAGGGGAATACAAGGGAAAAGGCTCACTTGAGCTGTACGGCCTGTCCACCGAGCCATCATTATCCATTAACTCGAGCGATAGCCGCACAACAAGTAACAGGAACGCGTACTATCAGAACAGGCAGACAGCCAGTAGTTCAAAGTTGCTTTCTATTGCACCGCATGGTACTCGACTTGTCTTTTCAGACGGCGACGGCAACATGAAGTGGGTCGAGCGTGACGGCTCAACACCCGTCCGCCAATTCAACATTAACGACTTCCAACGCTCTTCCTCCGAGCCTGCACCACAATCCCAACTTGTCAGTGCACATCCAGATACACAAGCTGGCTGGGGAGATATCGTGCAAAAGATTCTGCCCACTGTGAATCCATCTCTGCTTTGCCCCTACTCTCCCTCGTCAACTGAAGCCCTTGGTCTCGACAACTTGATTTTATGGACTGGGGACGGTAAGCTAGGTATGGTGGGCTTTGGGCGCGACCCACCATTTGAAAGGGACGTTTTTGAAGACGCGCTTGAGCAGCAGGGCAATGATGCAGGGGAAAAGGTAAGAGAGAGGGAGTACAGTGCTGAAATGAGGAGGGCACTAGAGCATCAGGCGAGAGAGTTGAGGTGGTTGAGAGGATATGGACTGTAGAATGGGAGTGTATAGACAAGGTGTTTATGATTACTATGATAGAAATAAATATACAGGTTAGATAGTAAAAGCTATTCACACAATTGCATGAGTATGGCGACATCAACTCGACTGCATGCTACGGATTAGACACTTAGCGTGGACCCTTGGTTCTCCCTCCCGCATGACGCACGCCACCAGATAACATCCCTTTTCCCGTCTATCGCATCTATCCTCGTCCCTATCTATAGGTTTTCTCGTTTTAGATAAGTTTTCCAACATGATGCTCAAACCCAACTCTGTGTCTTTTTCATGTTCGGCTATGCGGCACGTCGAGCGCATAGCCAAGACGCGTCTCCACGATGGCCGTACTCTCACATGCCAAACGCGTGACGACTAGTAACATATACACGCGATTCTTATTTGCTGCATACTGGACGAATGAGGCGCTCTTTACAACGTGCTACACGCGGTAAATATGTCTCCATACCGGTGCTACGGTTGGCAAGCTGACAGTTACGGACAGGATGGCTGGTCTTACCCCTCCGTAGACACCCCTCTCGCTTGCGATCCTATCCCTTCTTCTTGCAACAACCAGCCAACAATGCGCAAGGAATCAAACCGCCAAAAGACGAAAACCGGGATGAGGAAAGGAGCAAGTTTGCCCGAAGCGTACTCGAAGGAAGCACCGTTGCCCTGATATCGTTGTTTGGCCTGGGCCTTGGCGGCTACGCATACAGCCTGTTTTATAAGAGAACGGTAGCGAAGAAAATTGAGAATGCCTTTGATCCAGGGTACAGCTCGCAAGAGCGAGTTGCTCTCGGTCGCGTCGCGTACGGCACTGAACCAGAAAAGACACAAGAGATTGTGGAGCGAGAATACTGGGTCCCAAGAGCAGAACAGCCGGACATTGACAATATCGTAAACGGGAAAGCAAGAGGGAAATACTATCTCGTTATTGGTGAACGAGGTACGGGAAAGAGAGCATTGCTTTTGGAAGCTATGAGAAAGGTCAACGGCGATGGTATTGCCATGCTGGAAGCTCATAACGACTTGGAAGTGTTCCGCCTACGCCTCGGTAAAGCTATCGACTATGAGTTTCATGAAGACTATATTGGTGGCTTGTTCAGCATCAGAGGCCCAAGGGATAGCTCGCCGCTTCTGGATATTGAGAGAGCTCTCAACCAGTTGGAGAAGGTAGCTTGGTCGATGCGAAAACGGCGTGGCAAGCCCTTGATCATGATCATCAACAACATCCACTTGTTCAAGGACGATGAGCCAGGCAAACATTTGTTGGAGATTCTCCAGCAGCGAGCCGAGATTTGGGCGGGGAACGAGCTTGTCACAACAGTCTTTACATCGGATGAATTTTGGACGCTTGAACGGCTGACACCGCACGCGACCAACATGGGTGTTATGAATATCAGGGATGTGCACAGGGACACCGTCACCAAAGCCCTCAAGCAATACAGAGCTCGATATCACAACGAGGACACGCCAAAAAGCGTTATTGATGAAGTGTTTGCCCAAGTTGGTGGCCGCCTCATCTTTTTGAATCAGGTCGCGAAATCACAAGACATGCTGGAAACCTGTCGCCAAATCAACCGGAGAGAAAAGTCATGGTTCCTCAACAATTGCTGGATCCTGGGCGACTCTATGGACGACGACGTCGAGGAACAACAGAAATACTGTGCTGCAGCCATCATCTTGGCGCGGGCACTAGTTCTCCGTGAACAAGACCCTGAAGGAGAGGAATTCACGCTCCCCGAGATTCCCTTACACGAAGCGCGACAAATCATTACACGAGCGGATTTTGTACACCCTTTCGACCATATCAACATCGTTCACATCGATGCACACGGCATGGTGCGCGCAGATTCCGTCCCCATGCAAAACGCCTTTCGAGACGTCGTCAAGCAACCTGGCTTCGAAGAGCATTTGAAAGCAACGCTTAACCGGCTGGATGAGTTGGAGAGTTTAGCGCGGACACGGGAAGTTGCGGTAAGAAAGTTACCTGATCGGAGCGGAGGCATTGTTCCTGTACAAACGTATTGTGCCAAACTGTGAGGGGGACTAGTAGGATGGCAGGGAGTAGGCGGGTATCCATGCTGATATCAGAAGTACTGTTATATCTATTACCTCGATTATATGATGTATATTCGTTTGTGCAACCGACTGGCGCAACGTCAGTAATGGAATTTAACGTAGTACAGACCTATGTAGCGTTGAGGTTCTCGAACATTGCCTGCCACTCCAAATCTCGTAGACTTTAGCACAAAATGTGCTGGAGCAAGAACCATTGCAATACCTAGTGTGCGCGCCAGGTGAGTGGCGGCTGAGAATCAAAATGGATGCTGTCGTTGAGGCCGTTTTCTGTCAAAATCTCTAGAAGTTCTTGGGTTGTCTCTACCTTCGCATCAACACTGAACGAAAGCTTGTTGATCGCAAATATCACACTCGAAAGCGAGCAATTTAGATGGCATGGTGATCAACTATAATTGAATAGTTTGGCCTGACACCTTGTAGCTGGCCTGGAGCTCTTGGCTTATATGGTATGGTCCATGTGTTATAGGTTTCACTGAAACTCGGTTCCTAAGAGCTGATTTCGCTCGGCAAACGTGCAGGAACATCTCATCGAATGACTGAACTATTCCTATTCAGCCCAACGACCATACGTAATTTGATGTTTGGTATTATGAATCATGTCCAAAATCAGCTCTTCAGAACTGATTTTACTGGCAAAGAGCTGAAAAATTCTAGACTACACGGCCGATCGGGTTCTAAATAGCCGAAAAAGTAGCACTTGTTTCTTCAAAGACCATTGCAAGGATTTGCAGTGCGAAATACCCTCACTGTTTCTTTGAAATGAGTGCGGGTTAGTTTAACAGGAGTCAAAGAATCGTAAGAGTGGGTTTCGCGCTTAGTAGGATCTGATTCTAGAACAAGGAAAGGTAGAACGCCAGCTATGCAGAGCGCGAATCCAGACACATACAACCAAGATATATAAGTCTTGACAGGTGGATGAAATGTCTAGAAAAACATCCATCGTATTCACTTCCTCACTACATTCCAATCCTATAACCTTTCCAGCCCATCCAATCCAACATGATGTTCACCAAGACTCTTGTATTTGCTTTCATTAGCACTGCTCTGGCTTTCCCAGAGGGCGTCTTAGTTTCCAACGGGCTCACTGGGGCTCCAAAGATTATAACACGCGATATTACACGATTCGAGTTGACCAAACGGGAGTCTGATCCTACTGTCATTTTAATTGAGGATCACCCCACGAATCCATTGTTAGCTCGGCAGAATTGTAACACTTGCATCCCTAATGGTTGCGGTGCTTGTCGCACAGTAGGTCAACCACACACTTACTCTACCTGACTGAAACTAACTCGAGATGGATTTGACCGGAACATCTGTACGTTATCTTCAATACCCATCATAGCTGCTCAGTGAACTGCTATCAAACTTTTCTGTCATATCATACTAACTCGTTCTTTAGCAAACTGCATGATTTATTTTGTCCATTTCCTCCTGTTCTTAGTTGTTTTTTGCTAACATAGGTACCTACGAAAGTTCTGCTGTAAAGTAAGTTCAGGAACTTTCAAACAGCAATGTTGCCGGTCTAACAAACGACAGAAAGAATTCTGCGGGACACGTTGTTGCTGAACTAAACAAAGGTACCAAGGAAGCTCGGTATAAGTATGGTATTTCTTTACACAATAATGGAGCGTAGCTAACTCGGCGCTAGGCCTGATAAACGATGGTTCCCTACGATTTCTTTCAACAAGAAATTTGCCTCTACTTTGAAATGCCGCATCTGGGATATCTTTCAAGTGTTGGTGGGGAAAAAAGCTTTCTTGGAAACTTTTTCCTAATCTGGCTGCCGCGCATTCCGGGAATCCACTTGGGCGTATCTACACTACTACAGATATCCTCTACAACTTAGCAATAAGAGCCTATATAGACCCTCCAGAGACCCTTCAATAAATTGTCAGCAGTGGTTAATTCTTTTCTCTTTCGACCTTCTTGTTCTGCTTATTCCGCCCGTTTTATCCATTGTTTATGCAGTCTATGTGGAAACTATAGCCCCAGAGCTTGAACTTACAACCCTGTTCGTCTAGTTCAAGAGCTAGAATCTTTGCTTTCCCCTCGATTAATTGTCAACATAGGCCGCTTCTGCATATTAATCATTTATATCGCGCCAGCAAAATCAAAGCGGCTTGAAGGAATTCCGACAACTGGTTCAAATCAGTCGCAGAACCGGACTGATACTTGTTATACTCCAGCTAATTTAAGTATTAATCCCACAGACAAGACTTAGAGCTCACATCTGTGTCTGCCTCAGCAACCTCCGAGCCAACCATCTTGTTATGCATAATTCCAGTTTGCCGCATTATTTCTCCTTCAATTTCTCAATGTCTCGATTAAAGATAACGAAGACATTTCAGCTCAAACGCCGATGGGTACAACGAGTTATACCAAATTCTTGCACCTGCCTTCTAAAGTTTATTCATTCATCTCGGAAATCTATCGGCACGTCCGGTTGGCTTACTTTCATCCAAGATTCTGCTGAATTTCACCCATTCACGACGTACGGACTTCCCCCTGATTTTCCGCACTTCTAAAACATCACACACTACCTGTTAGACCCGCCGAATAAAATATTCATTAGCTATCCTTTTTAGGGGATTCTTCCTATCCTACTAAAATAAGACTAAAAAAGGCCTGTCAACACAACTGTTCACATTCACTATCATTTTGCCATTCGCCATTCAATCTATCTTGTGCACTGCTGTTTTGACTTTTGTCGTCTTCTTGGCCAATGGTATTCTGAAAAGTCAAACTATCTCTCTATACCTTCAAGTGTCTAACAATCGTGACGGCTCATCGTAGGTTACGATCCAAGTCCCTGCAGCGGGCACTGTGATAGTGGAGACGGTCATTGCATCACCAACCCAAACAGAATCACTGGCCTGCCAATGCAGTCCCATCGGTTGCAAACGTAATAAAGCCATACATTCTAGTTGTTTTGTAGACTTGTACGCGAAGGAAGCACGGTTGTATGCATTCTTGAAACACCTCACCCACTCCCCTTCGGTTTACATGAACATGACTGCATTAAGCATAATCTGCGAAGATATCTAAGACTAGACTAATCTATTTACCCGCTTTTCATTATTGAATCTCATCAGAAGCCCGCAGGACAAGTGACTGTCTCTCTGATCAGGTTGACAGGTCTCTGTGATGCTGGAACGGTACGGTAGAAAACTAGCCGCCCATCGGAAGAGGGTGAAAGTATACTTGAAGGTTGGCCCGGGTGGACGCATTGCAAGCCAGAATTTGCTGTTGGCCTACAGGGCGTGAAGTCCACTGCAGAGTTACCCGATATCCCTTCTGGAAAAACATTACGAACGAGAAATCCAGTTGAGTAGGCGGAGGCGGAATTCTGGGATTGATATGCTATATTGGAATAGACAAGATTGGTGGAAGTTCGGAGGAAACAGTTGTTGGTTCCCACGGTGAGTTGCCTGAAGATAGCTATGTTGGTAGTGGCCAACTTTGCCCAGTTGCCGGTATCCACGACCAGATAGCCTCCGGAGACTGTGTCTTTGACTGTAAAGCATCCAGGAATAAGTGTGCAACTACTGGCTGGGGCAGCGGCTTGGACAGTAGTAGTGGAAGTCGTAGTCGATCGGATGGTGGTAGCTATGAGGAGCGTTGTGGCGATGGTGGTAGTGGGAGTCGGTGCGACATCAGTAGTAGTGCTGATCACAGTCTGAGTTGTGGTGAAAACAGTTGAGGTGGCTGTGATCTGGGTCTCTGTTATTGTGCCAGTTGCAACTTGTGAACAGGCGGCCGATAGCAGTGATCCAGGCCAGTTCGCAACAGATGCAGGGGTAGGCAGTGCCGCACGTTTCGCCAGATCAGGACTAGCAGCGAGAAGAGAAGACACAACGGAGGCTGGGAGATCTACATAAGGCCAAATATCAGTGTTGATGGAGTCGGTTGTGGTTGTGGCGTTGTCAGCGAACCGTCGTAAACGTGCAGGAGCTGGCAGGGTAACAGTTGCGGTAACAGTATCTACCACTGTAGTTGGATTATAAGAAGTAATGGTGGTAGAGGTTGTAACTGGGTTGGGGGTCGAGGTAACAGTGGAGTCGACAGTGGTGACGGTGACAGTGCTGATAGTTGAAACCGCGGACACCATGCTAGTGGGTGCAACATAGTTGATGTAGGATGAACAGAAGGCGGCATTCTCTGGTTGCCTCAAGTATGAAATGTCAGACGCGCAGATGGGCTGGCCGGGAGTAGCATCATTTGAGTAAATCTCTGAATATGCTATCGTGTAGTGATCGCTGCCACGCCATTGCCCCTCGTTGGAGATGATATCTGGTGTGTTTGCCCAAGTGGTGTTGTACATTGAACAAATCTGAGCTTGTGGCACTCCATTCTTCATGAGGATGTACGTGTTGAAAAATCGGCAGATGCTCCTGGAATTGAGATGATCGATGTTGAACTGGGTTTCGGCCTCGCAAGCGGTAGCGCAGCGGGATGGATCAAACGGGGCACCGTCGCTGAATTCCTTATATGTAATATATGTGTCGCGACCATTACAGTCTGAAGGCGCGTTGACGGCCTTGTTGCCAACAAAGGTGCCAGTGTACCCAGTAACTGACTCAGCGGCTGATGGATTACGAACATAGCCGTTAGAGCCAGCGATTACGACATGGAAGTCGTTACGCCACTGCCCATCATTGGTAGCAGTTTCCGGGGAAAGGACAGTGCCCCACAAAACACACTTGATGACAGTAGTTGATGCAGGATTAGGGCACGCTGTAGCAGGAACCTTTTCCGGATCACGCTCGAACAAGATGTTGAAGGAAAGACATCCTTTGGTAGTCGAGCACTTGGCAGCGCAGGCTTCAGTGTCGTAACTGGATAGGGAGAAGTATCCCATATAGGACTAATCAAATCATGTTAGGATTTCCGAAAATTCTCCGAGTTTTGTAAGACTCACTGATGTCTGCGAGGACGCCTTCTTGTTCTGGAAAACGTTCACATATCCTTCTGGAGTTTTTGCACCATTGGCGGCATCCGAAAGCTCAGAAAAAGCCAGGAATGCCTCTGGGGTATCTGAGGAAGGCACTGGGCCTGATCCGAGCGCCTGGTCGGAGCAATCCCAATCCCGCCTCAATAGTTTTGCAGAAGGAGTGATTATGTCACTCAGGGCTCCTTCTCCCATAGGAATAGTTACCGGAGGTGCCACTTCATTGGGCTCGACTATAGCACTCAGATCTATGTGTTGAGGGATCGGAGTTGCTGCTGCGAGCGTTATAAATGCGAGAAGCCCAGCTGATCTTCTCATCATGGGCAATAGAAGGTATGAGTTGAGTGAATAAAGTTGGGGGGATAACTTTCCACTGGAAGTAAGTGCGTGCTACGACTGATCGTAAACGAGCACTGCTGTTGTGTTCATCCACGAGACAACGAGGACAATTTATCTGCAGCGGAATTTTGGTGGCGTCTCAGCTGATGTATCAATCGAGATTTTTCGTTAGGAAGATTGAGAGATTTTCAGAAAGTGGCGTCGTGATGCCAAGGGCTGAGGAAGCTTGATGAAAATGATAGTGGATGTTTTTCAAAGGTCCGGACACACCAGGTTAAACTCATCTAGACATAGATACTGGAATTGGCTCCAAATTGTCATGAATCTACCACCTTGGCATTTGGTAATAGCGTTTGGAAATCGTGTGGCTGATAACCCGTCTCATCGCTGGTAAGCCATGCACTGTACTAACGGAGAGTAGTACTAGTCTACACCTTTATTGTGAATACGTCTTCTCTTAGTCCACCAGAGTCACCGGTCCCTAGACTGTATCTCAACATATGTAACCAGAACAGAGACTACTGCGTCTACATCTTGGTCCAGGCAAGAAAACACCAAACTGAACGTAATACGACTCCAATCAATGTGGCCTCAAATCACTATTACAGCGTACTGTACGGACTAAAATAAGACAAAAATGCCGTATATTTGACCGCTACATCATCAGCGCTGTTTGCGGACGACAGCTAGGCTATCTCCTGATGGGGTCCGAAGTTTAACCTTTGGAGATTACAAGCCGTAGTCCTATTATCCAACGATAACAGAATGAATACTAACTACAATGTTTTCACTTCAGGAAGTCCCATGTGATCTAATCGTGTTTCCGAGAGTATTAAGATTCGAAGTCAAATTACCGTATTCGCTTACCACAGCAACGGCCAATACGAAGCCTGGCCCCATTGCTTTTTGGGGAAAGTATCGTAACGCTAAGAGCTCAGCTTTCAGGGTCAAACTAGTCTTGGTAGTGACCTGCCAAGCCATGCACCCCTGCGTTGGGTCCACCACATTCTCAATGAAGCCTAGCAGCGAAATTTGCATGCCGTCCCTTGACATTGGTGACATGGCATATGCTTCCACGCTTGTAGTCTCTGGTTAGTCAATAAATGCCATGAACTCGAGCAAGGATGAGCGGTGAGAATAGATTGTAGTAAGGCAGCAAATTTGGTTGTGTACAGCAAATCCGGTCGAGGCCATCTATATTGCATGTTCGGCTCGAAATTGAGGTGCGCAATCATCAAGTTGGATTCACGTTGTAACACCAAGACAGAAACACTACCCGAGAGTATGCCTTCGGAAACGCCATGACAATGTGCCCTTGAAAACGGAAAAATGATTCGCACTCTACGCTAAGCTTTCCAATGACTCGCTGCTCCGAGTGTATGTTTTCTGGCTTCCTCTTCTGCTGCAGCAAAAGCTTCCGGTTTCTTCTTTTTCTCATCCCTCAGCGTATGTTTCTCCCAGTCCTTCAAGACCTGAAGCGTGGCTACAACGAGTGCCTTGTCTACTTCAGGAGATCGTATGTAAATTGCTTCATCAGGCAGGTTTTCTGCAGTATTATCGACTCCGCCGTCCCAAAAACAGTGGTCTGCAACGATGTGGCCATAGAGCGGATTCGGGTTGTATCCTGCAGCGACGAATAGCGCATGTCTGAGGGTATCGTACCTTGCGCCATCGATGGAGGAAACTCTGCTGCTCGTGACCCACATGTAAGCGCGTCGGTCGGCCCCAATAAATCTCAAGGAGTCGTAATTCAGCGCATGTACATATGTTGTCATGATGTCTCGGGAGTTGGGTCCACTCGGCGTTAGAACTTCAGACTTTCGCATATTGGTTTTTGGGTCTATCTTGAGCTCATATGTCCATGTCGCGGCTTGCTGTTTGCTAGCCTTCGTCCCAAGATTCTCAAGTTGCTCGTTGCACGTCATAGTCCAGGACAGCTTTGGGCTACGAAAACTACTAGCAACAGATTTGAACTTGAAAGAAAATGCTGGAGGTGCAGAATCTTTTGTCTTGTCGGAGGCCCGTTTTCCGCTCCATGTCGACGATGGCGGCGTGTCGAGCCAACAAGAACCCGAGGCATGTTTGCTCTCCCGACCGGCGTACAATGTTTGAAGTATTGGTGGTGGACTCCATTGTGGAGGATAAGGTGCTTGGCGATATTGTTCCACATAGGAAGGCAATGAAGAATGATGTAGAGCAACGGGTGGTTGGTTCACGGGCTGCTGGTCTGGGTAAACTGGTATCGGGAGAGTATGCTCTGGGAGTTTGGGGCCTGAGTACGCGATGGGAAAAGGCTCCACCACGACTTCTGGCAATGTGCTGAACCTAGTCACATCTATCTTCTGAGGATGATTCAGAGATCCTGGACTCGATGGTGCAGCATGTGTCCCTACGCTCTTTGAATGGGGGCGTAATGACTGCGCAGATCGGTGGTGGGTAATCGGTATCGAAATCGAGTTTCGAGGCGCTATACCGCATGGAGATTGAGTATTAGAATAGGAAACACTTCGTGAATGTGGTCGCAGCGTTTGTACAGACTGGTGTTGGTGCAGTGATGGCGTCAGGTGTTGGGGGCTTCCAGGAAACGGGTTCACCAACGGTGTAGAGTCTGTGACGTCTAGTTGTGATATCCTACGCGCGAGGATTTCATCCTGCTTCAATTGCTCTTCAGACGTAGTTGTTGGTGGGGCTGATGGTAATGGTGCTGGCAATTCTGCGATTACTGGAGCTGGCTCTGTGCTGCCGTAGTGAGGTTGAACGTATGATCCTGCAGCTAGCGCATATTGAGCGTACTCGGGGTGATGGTTTGGGGAGTAATGGTATGCAGGCTGCGCCAGCGAAGGCGGCGTTTGTTGATACTGCCGCGACTGCCACGGCTGTTGATATGGATTGAAATTTGGCGATGCCATGACCCCTTGCAGATTCAACTTGGTACCCTTGGTTGCGATAGGGGACTCGACTTTTTGCGCGCAATGAAGGGACCAGTTCGTGCCTAAGACGTCCGGCCAAAGGGATGCGCGATCATGTACGCAAGACAACCAGTCGAGATGATACGTCGCAGAGCTTCTTCCCAGACGAAGACAGATGAGCCTGTTGGTCGAAAATGATGTAAGTATGGAGTGGAGTGTGTGATACTGCGGGATGTGGGGAGTACTGAGTACCAACCTTTGTTTTGGCGCGTCTCGGCCCCCAGCGCGGGACACTGGTTGCCTAACCGATCGCCCTTAGCCGTCGTCACATCGGGCGGCTAGCCACCCTTTCGCAATTCCCACGGTACGATAAGCAACAGAGCAGCCTTGTTCACGCAGATGCTGATGCGGAGTAGGAAGCGGAATATATGGGGAATATGCTAGTAGTACCCATAGCAGTAAGCAGCTGCCCGTGGGTGATGTGCCGTCACTCCGCATATGCCAATGTTGTCAAAGTCAGCCATCGTCTTACGCCCCGCAGATACTATACGTCATGGCTGTGTATATGTCGAGGGGGCAGCACATCATACATTATGATCAACTTTGTCGCTGGGGCATCTCAGTTTTCATAGCCGATGTTTGGTGGGGAACAGTCGACTATGTGCAAGATCTGAAAGGCGCCTCTTCCAGAACTAGTACACATAACTACATGATACGGCCAGCATAAAGGACATTTGCAGAATTTTAGGCATCCAGATTCGATATGCTCTGCTGGCACACAAGAGGACATAACTTAACATTGTTATTTTGATGCGCGAAATCAATGAGTCCTATGACCAGATGCCAAAGGATCCGTCGCCCTCTAATAAATGTGGGGTTTTCGTTATGCACCAGCCAGCCAACTATGCGCACTAGCAACCGTTCAACCACCCAAAGTGCAGGAACCCTAGTCACATTCCCGGAAATACCGATCAGGGTCGAAGCTCTACACATTGTGCTGCTGAGTAGATGATCCAGCATTGGATATGGCATGCCATATCCTGTACCAATAGATCCTACACCATATGTCATTTATCCTCATTGAGCTTTTGATATGAGTTGTATCAAACATAATCTAGCACAACAAATAACAACCCATTTACGACTTGACCCACACAGCACTTCAGTCTCTAGGACTAAGGTTATGGGAAAATAGTGTTAGTGGACATTGCAACAGCGTCTAATCAAACTACGCGCAAGCGAAGCACGCATGATGCGTCATCGCCACATACGTACTTAGGGCTAGAACCGCTCCATCATCTGCCTGAAATCAAGCTTGATATTAAAATCATATGTAATGAGAATTTTCTACAGGAGACAAACACCTTGCTGAGACGTCTTTTTTTCACCAGGCTATTCTATGAAATCAGGTGGAAGAAGAGACATAATTTTCAACAAGTCTAAACACTCATGCTAATTTCCTTGACACCTTTTCAAAACATTGATGGTCTTCACTAATGTGTAACTTGTCTCTTCTACTATTAGGCTACATTTTGACTAACAACATGCTACTAGGAAGTTATTAACCTGGTGCTATGGTTTTCTATTTCGTTGTACTACTTTCTATTTAGCACCCTGACACCTGTATCATTAGTTTAAAGACCAAGACCCTTACAAGGCCCATCCTTCCAGGAATACTCATCCTCCCAACACACGTACGGAAACTCCCTGAACAGAATTTTTTGTACTGTAGCAGAGTAGAAAACGTTAGTCACTGATCGGAAAAGGTAAAAGGAAGGCGAGGGCTGTTGTGAGGGAGTGATGTAACTTACTGCAAAAAACTAGTCTCGCATCCACGGACAATTCGAGGTACATGGGGTACTTCTGGTTGTACTTCTTACTGTAGTATTCGACGTAGTTGTATCTGAAACCCATCAAGTTGCCGTCGCCGCACTCGAATGTGCTGACGCCGCTGCAGTCCTTGTCCCATAGGAGAGGGCAGTGTCGCGTAGCTCGACACTTTTCGACGCCGTCTTCCTTGACCCAAGCTTCGAGTTCGATGCCGGAAGTGACGCCCATATGAGCCTTGATATGCGCTTGGAGGCAAGGAACTTTCTCCGACTTGGCGCACATGCCCGGCGCACAGAAGCGGATGTAGTCGCATCCACCATTGATGCTACCGCCACACCCGTTCTGTCGAGCAGAGATGAGGCCCATGTCCCTTATTGCGACGCTGCTCTGGTTCTGCGGGATGCTCGGAACAGAAAGCTCCTGTTCACCCAGTTCATTATCAGCTGGCTGTCCCTGAGGATGAGAGTCCTCTTCGGGCCTTAAACTGGGTTCAGGTGTCGGAACCGATGGGTCTACTGTGATACTTTTATCGTCGATAAGGGAGGGTGGCGCCGTTGCGTCCGTCGGGGCAGCAATAAAATCTGCCTGAGCACATCTGGCTATAACAGTGGTGCTCAGGCAAATGGAGTACTCGCCTGAACACGAAGGGGTGCCCGTTGCAGAGTATGTAGAGTAGCAGGGCCTAGTTGGTACGCAGAGATCCTGAGTCACGCAAACTGACTTGCCGCCAGAACCATTACACCTAGTCGTGTGAAGATACGAGCTGCACTCGCTGCCACTATAAGGCGGCTCGAGCGTCGTGAGAGTGGGCGCCCCTGGGAGATTCTGTCGGGTTGTGGTAGGCGTGACCTGTCCTCCGTTACCATTGCCGCCGTTGGACGTCCTAGTGCCGCCTAATGGGTTGCGATTCCATCCCCATGTAGTCACGGTCGTTCCGGAAAATACAGTTGTTCCTTTTGTGCGGCTTACGCCGGCTGGGAGCTTCTCATGTGTGTCCTGCAGCCTGGGATCATATGTAGGTCTGTAACTTTGTGAACATACTGTACTAAGTTAAGTTGAAATAGAGAAAAGAACTTACGCTGGACAGCTTCCCCCTGTGGTAGTCGTTTCTTTGCCTGTAGCTGAGCATTCGCTGACGAGTGAGGTAGAGTAAGTCGTGCAATCCTTCGTGCGCTGAGCATCACAAGAGACCCAGCGGTCTGTGACAGTCCTCGTCGTGCACTCTTCCTCTTCTTCTGGATCATTGGGATCACCACCGCCGCCATCGCTTCCAACGCCACCACTACCGTGTGGACAGACCGGTCCAACGCAGTTAAGATTAGGAGTATTGCAAAGAGGGCCGATGCAGCCGCAGATACCTAAGCATGGACGCCCGCGGCCTCTACCGCCACCGCCACCACCACCACCTCCACTATTATCATCATCTTCTGCACCACCGCAATTGACTTTGCAACGGCTTCCACACTTTTGTCCAGGCTTGCAGGTCGGCTTTGGCGGCCCTCTGACGGCAGTGACAGATGATGGCTTACCCGGAGGAGGGGGTGGTGGAGGGGGGAAAGGGTTATCATCGTCTGAATTAATGGTAGGCCAGGGCCCAGGCGAATATGTCCAAGTGACGGGTGGCTGTCCTGTTCTAGTCCTGGTGAGAGTGACTGGCGGGAAATCGACACTCGAAGTGAGGCCTACTGTAGTCCGATTCCTCTCATCCTCATTCCTACCGCTGATCCATATCACGTTCCACACTTCGATCAGGGTCGTGGTGACGGGGGGAAGGGTGATGACGGTGCTAGTTGTCACTACGGTTGTGTCCCAAGTGTCGAGGAATGAAATGGTGGCGGGGGGCCGGGAGATGATGGTTGGCTTGTCGAGGGACCACGGGGGCATGATTAGTGTACACGGCGGGAAACACGACGCGACTGGGTTTGGATCGTCGTAGACCTCGGGTGCAATGTAAACGGGCCCGGAACCTTTGCCATTTGACGGCGCCTCAAGACAGGCGCCGCTCTGACAACCCTTACCGCAGTGAGCCTCAGAATTACCGCAATAACCGAACGAGGAACAACAGCTTCCCTGGGGCCAGAGACCGCAGAACACGCCGTTGGCCGAGGCGCCACAGGATCCATCAGTTGTTTCCTGTCCCACCAAACACTTTCCACTCACGCAGCCAGAGCCGCAGTGTGTCTCGCTACTGCCACAGTAGCCGTATGACGAGCAACAGTTGCCGAAAGTGCTATCCTCGCACTTGAAGCCGCCATTATTGGGACCGCATCTTCCGTCAGTGGACACTGGGGCACTGTCACTATCACCACTGCCCGAGTTGAAGTCGACGGACCATGCCATTGTGCCGCCAAAGCAGAGGTTGTTGGCAAACTTGCGCTTCATCTCATGTGTCTCCTCGTCATCATAGCCGATCCACTGGTCATCCCAAATGAGCTCCTTCATCATGGATTCAGTGTTGAGGCGCGGCGTCAGGTTCTTCTCCTTTATAAGCTTCTTGATCTCAAGGAGTGACATGACTCCCGCTTGGCGGGTACACTCGGCCGGCTTGCTGGGGCCTGAAAAGGGACATAGAAGCTTGTTGCAGCTGGGGTCTGTAATGAATTGTCAGCTGACCTGCACTAGTGATCACCGAATGGCGTCCCAGTGTACCTGATAATGTATATCCTCTTCCATACCAGGCAAGGCCAAAGTTGATCTTGGCCGGATCCAAGTTTGCATACCAGAGAGGCAAGGTATTCTAAGTCACATCGTGTCAGTATGATCCCGCAGTCATATGTCTTTATCCAGAAACCACAAAGTCAGTGTTGACTGAATACTTACTGTATTACATTAGTAGATGGCGTAAATGACATAGCTTTATGATAGCTCACCATTGTAAATCTCGCGCACATCGGCCTGGCCGCGCACCAGAGATCCCAAAGTCTCGACATCAGAGTCCCACGAACCATGTAAATCGTACGCCATGAATCCGAAGAAGTCAACATAGGGCTGCATGGCTTCTGCGTCAAAGTACCGAAGATACCAATAGTCTGGCGCCAGAGTCAAACTAATGCCGTACTTGTTTCCGTATGCCTCTCTCATCTCCCTGACCAGCTTCGTGAAGTTTTCTGTGTCTCCTTTAGCGCCTCCCCGCTTCGGCTCCACAGGGTACTCCCAGTCCAGGTCAACTCCCGTAAAGCCGTACTTATCCATGAATTCAGCCGTGGATTGGATGAATGCGGCTCTATTCTCACGGGTGGAGCAGAGGTCGCTCCAAGTCGTGTGTGTGTTGCCCTCGTCACTAAATGTGTAGCCACCAACGGCAATCCAGGTATTCGTGTCGAGTGCTGTGAAATCCTTCATCAGTGGGATATCAGCGTCATCCCAGGGCCGGATCCTAAAGGTCTTTGGGTCGATAGAAGCAAACGAGAAGAAGAGATGGGTGTAGTCCTTGGCTTTAATATCCTTGGGGAAGATGCGGTTACACAGGCGGTCTCTACTGTTAGAGGCTAGGTAATACCCAATAGTACGGGCCTTTGTCGATCCAGAGCCCTCTCCACATGTCTTTGGTCGGATGATCTCACATGAGCCGAAGTTTTTCTGGCACGGTGTAAATTTGTTTGGCCCGATGCAGTGAACTTCGGATGTTCCACACCATCCACCTGAGATTGTATGCTTAGTAAGAGGCAAGCGCTAGTTACAGAACTAATGGCCACGACTACTCACCCCAACTACAGCATAAGTTCATTCCACACTTTGTGTTTCCTCCTTCGGAAAAGTTACCGCACATGGCAACAGCATCACAGTTGCTTGTGCAGCCGACTCCACAAAAGTCTTGACCGTAACCACATATTCCCTGAGGACCGCAGCAACTGGTAAAATCAGAATCCTTTTCCTTTACAAGCCTTCCTTGTTTTTCACAAGGAATGAAGCGTGAGAACCGACCTTTTGTCGGGGCAAGGGGCCTTTTTGCACAAAAGGCCTCCGTTTCCATCTTCTTCGCGCTGTCTTTTGTGGAAGATGCTCTCCGAAAAACCCGACTCCATGGATGAATCGCTTCTGTTAATCTGGCTACCTGTAAACAAGGACATGATGCTGAGATAGGGAATGGGAGGTGCGTGCTCCGGAGACTGGTGGGTAATATCCGGTGATTCCACCGCTAGAGCACCCTGCAAGGCAATAAGGGCAAGCCCAAAAAGACACACTGGTTTTTGGAAGCGTGCCATTTTTGACTCTGGTACATTTGCCTTAAGGAAAAGAAAAGAAGGGCTGTGGGAGGGCTGTCTTCCCTACAGGATACCATAGGTTTTATGTACATATCCTGATACCACTCTTCTACTCATGCCAGGGTTCTATTCTTGAGTATACAAGTCTAACGGTGTTTTCTACTGCTCATCTCCGTAACATGCAATCACTCCAAAATTTACTAACCCACCAAAATCCTCAACCTGCAAGCAAGGATATGGCCCACCTTTTTGTGGCACAGTTAGGGGAATCTACACAGTATGTTTTTTTTCTTATGGCACGTCGAGGGTAGCCCACAATTTCTTCATGTGGCACGGTTAGGGGAACATACGATTTTTGCATGTGGCACAGTTAGGGGAACGTATGATGTTTGCAAGACTGATCCTTCGCGTGCCAAGCGTCCTAGAAGCGCCGAGTTCCCATGACACGTATGACCGGTCATTATATTGTACTCAGTTTGGAATGCTTAGTAGGTTTGAAAAGGTTATTGGTCACATGCTAAGCGTTTTTCTAATGGTTCTATTCACCGTAATCTTTTCATTTCCCGTCTCATATCTTGCTACTTGGATTTTCACGTTCTAAGCACATTTAACCTTTCTGCGTTTCTTGGCAGTTGCTCGCGCGCAGAGCCGATTGTTCCGAGACTACAAGCTCCATATTTCGCTGGCTAGACTCGTTGCATCATGGTGAACACAAATATCTCAAAAGACGACCGGGGTTGACAGTGAGGGTAGAAGTGCAGGGCGCAGGAAATGTTTGCAGAGAGTACTCGAATATGTGCAAATCTCGTTCCATTACCGTGTGCAGGAAAAGTTGGACTTCTCTCAATTCCCACGCAATTGCAGTATTTACGCATTTACATATATGCTTTGTGTTCGAGTTTTCATGTGTGCATTTCTCTTGTGAACCATAGTTCGGCAGCCGGAAATCCCTCTGCTAGCGTCGTAACATGTTCTCGGTTATATTTACTGCATAAATATCACTATCTCTGTTAAGTCCGTGACTCCATCTTCTCTCCAAACACTCAACTCGAAAGCCCCACCGACAGCACTACAAGCGACCATGACAGCGAATGTTGAAGGAGACGCATTCAGCAGACTTCCTGTGGAGCTCAGGATCAAAATCCTTAAACTATCACCGGACCTCTTTTCACTACGAAGCTTAGCCCATGCGTCGCCGGCCTTAGGCAGAGTACTCGACAGATATCCGCTCGAAATTTTGGAGGTAGTCTTAGACGTTACCGTTTCTGTAGAGACTCGTCGGCTGATGAGCGCGGTTCTCAAAGCTCGGTTTTCGCGCTTTCCAGCTTCCCTGTCCGAGGCTCAAAAGGTGGCTAAAATTGACTCGCCTGCGATCACCGACGAAATGCGTTCGGTCAGACTGGACCGGGCCGCCGCGGCAGTACGGTCCATGCTCACTACCGCCGAGAATGTCCATGCCTGGTCTCATGCCTGCCTCGAACATTTAATACGAAAATCTATGGAGTTGCGGCCCGCTACCTTCGTTCACCCCTTCCATAGCAGTCTATCCTGGGAACGATGGGGAAAAGTCGAAAGTCATGACGACTATATCCCACAGTATACTGGCCCGCCTTCGTGGGTAGAGGAGCAGCGGGTGGTCAAAGCATTCTGGCGACTACAGTTCCTCCTTGAACTGCAGGGCGCTAGTAACAAGAGTCGCCTGATGACTTATTGGCCAGCACAAGAAGTTGACGTGTTGTCCAAGAGCAGCCCAGATGACTTTTATGAAATGTTCCCATATCAGCAGGATCAGACCTTGACCGCATGTGATTTTTTTGGTGGAGTTACCTCGGGTACTATTACTTCGGTGGAGGCTGTCCATGACAATACTCACGGGCTGCCAACGATACGTTGGACTGAAAATACAGTACCAAGGTGGCCATGTGCCGAGCCACTCTCATTCGAGATTAACAAAGACTTTTTTCGTCAGGGGCAAAACTGTGTCGACCTAACGCCACCGTCGTACCATTTTCAGTATCTGATGTCTATACCTCATCCTGAAGGCGAGTCGTGTCTTCTCGGGCTCCCATTTCAACCTTATCGCAAATATGGGTTCGCCATATGGGACGAGAAGCGTATGGTCGATCTGGGCATGCGGGACCCAAAAAGGAAGTCGCTCTTGGCAAACCGTATATTTTATTCTTTTAGGTGGTGGAGCATCTTGACTGAGGAGGAATTGCAGCAGGGCCTGCGCAACAGGGACCGCATACTCAATCGTAGACCTTAATTTCCGTAGATATTAGTGTCTAGTTGGATTGCCGCAAGATTAAGAGACGTAATTGAAAGCGAGCAGGAAAATTGATTGATTTGGACTATCGAATAAGATAATCAAAGAAGCTCGAGATTGAGAGTTCGTGATACAGAGGGGTGACATAGAAAAAATATGTTACTAAAAGTTGCTATTTTTAAACTAGTATAACTTAGCGAATATAG